GTAAACCGGAATTTTTAAGCGGAGGCGAGCTGCAGAGACCACCCAGGGCCTTTCTTGTGCCGAGGAGGACACAGGCCAGAGCAGGGAGGGGACTTGGCAAAAGGCACATAAGCATTCGGAGCTAAGCCAAGCTGGAGCTCAGGGCGCTCCTGGACCCTTAACAAGGCTAGAAATTAAGAAAAAGGACCCTTAAAGAATCTTTTGTTCCTGCTGACATTTTTTGCTCACTTACTGCTCCGAGCCTTTGGGTGCATTATTTTGTTTGCACAATCACCCCATTGAATTGAAGTGGGTTGTACCCCTGCCCCCTCTTTTTTGTTTTCACCAAGCACAGAGAAGTTAGATGACTTCAGTAAGGGGCTGAGCCAAGTTTCAAACCCAGGTGAGCAAATCCAGAGGCCACCTTCCACTCTACCTACCTCTATGTGGGCTAAATACCCCAACAAGCTGTGGAATATCCTAGATGGGTGAGGAGTAGTAACTTCCTTTAAGGTTAGGAGCACATTTTTAAACGCATAGTTTTTGTTTTGGGTTGTTTTTTTTTTAAAGTAAGTTTTAATTCAAAAAGTGGAAGGGCTAACCTTGGAAACTTAACCCTGTTTTTTTGTTGTTATTGTTGTTGTTTTTGAGACAGTCAGTGGCATCATCATAGCTCAATGCAACCTCCACAACTCCTGAGCCAAGCAATCCTACTGTCTCAGTCCCTTAGGTACCGGGGACTACAGGTGGGTGAGGCCAGGAGGAAAAAGTAAAGTCTTAAAAAAAACAAATGCTTCTCAGAGAAGCCCAAGAACACTCCTGCAAGGTCCTCCCTTTGGTAACCCAGCCCATAAGAATTTGTAAAACTTAGCTTCCTACTTTCTTCATACTGACACTAGCTGCTTGCTTCTACTTCTGTAAACCCTGCACGTGATTTGACACCTCCAGTGAGAAATAATATGGTAATTTCTTTGTCTACTTGTAAGTCCAATAAAAGCACAGGGAAGAGCTGATCAGGGGGCTCATTACTTTAAGGCTAATGGCCTGCAGAGTTTCTCTGCTGGCAAATGAAATTCCTTCCCCTTTAATCTTTGGTGAGAGTCTATTGGTTTCAATTCACTGGTCCTGCAACACCATAATCAGCTAATTTTTCTTTCTTTTGTGGGGGGGATTGAGGGGGTGAAAGCAGGGTCTTATCTTGCTCAGGCTGATCTTAGAATGACCTCAAGCAGTCCTCTCACCTTGGCCTCCTTCCTAAATGCTAAAAGTACAAGTGTGAGTCACCCTGCCCAGCCTAGGACAATTCTTTAAACCGGGTGAATATAGCTTCGTGAGAAACTATTGCATAAGACCAATTACACTAGAACTGTTGAAAACTTAGTTATTGACAAGCCCTCATCCTCAGAAAGAATTGCGGGAAAGGATTTGGGGGAAAATTTCATTTACACACACATTCATTTTACAGGAGGGAGGACGACCTGTCAGTCAAATGTGTGAACACACACACAGACACCTACCCAAGGATGTGTCTAATCCAGGGATTCTCCTTTCAGGCCTTGTGACATTCTGAGGTGTCTTCACTCACTTCAAAGGTGTTATCAGATTTTCAAAATGATATTAAACTTAGTTATGAAGTTTCATCACTTTAGTTATGAAAATGAGTACGCATACCTTGATTCTGAAGAGGGGAGGAGGGAATGCAAACACTGAACAAAGCATCACTGAGCATTGCCATTGGGGGTATTGCCATTAAGGAAGCCCTATGGGGACATTGGGAATCTAGACCTGGTTCACATAGCTGCCCCTAAGGGTCACCTGCACCCATTAAGCCCACAGATGCTGGTTTTCTCCCTTTCTTCACCTACACTTCCCAAGTCTCTTCCTGGAATGCTCTCTTCCTAATCCCAGCCCAACTTTTCTTTATCCCTACCTTCTACCCACTGAATACTGAAATTTTCTTAATACTGAAAGGTCTCTACTGACTTGCATTTTGTTTCTGCAGCTTCAGCTGTTTTTGTAAAATATCTCACCTTAGGGAGTTGGACAGTTTCATCTCCCAAAATTCTGGTTGATGCCTACCTAGGTGGGCTTATTGGAGAATGCTCAAGTTTGACATAGAAAGGTCACATAGCCACATTTGCCTGACTTCCTAGTTTTGGATACTTTTCTTTAACATCTACAATTACTCAGAAAAATCATCATCTAGTCAAAGTCATGACAGCTCCTGCCCCTTCCATCCACTTAAGTCTTGGTTTGACTTCTGAACATTCCACCAGGGATCATGGATTATGGGTCATGGAGACCATAGATCACAGTCTCCTATTTGACAGATAAATTCAGGCCTCTGAAGGGAAAAGGTCTTGCTCAAGGTCACAAACTTTGAGTGACTCTACCATGTCATCTTCACAATGACATGATTTTTCTCATTTTCTTACAAAAACTCAACACTCGGGGGGCACCTAGTTCAGTGGGTAGGGCACCAGCCCCATATACTGAGGGTTGCAGGTTCAAACCTAGCCCTGCCTGCAGCAGAAAATAGCCGGGAGTTGTGGCAGGTGCCTGTAGTCCCAGCTACTCCGGAGGCTGAGACAAGAGAATCACCTAGGTCTAGGAGTTGGAGGTTGCTGTGAGCCGTGATGCCAGGGTAGTCTACTGAGGGCAATAAAGTAAGATTGTCTCAAAACAAAAAAACAAAAACTCAACACTCAACGAACATAAGATGTGTAAATGACTAATGGAGTTCCAATCCTTACTTAGCCACTTACTACCTGGGTAGCCTCTCTACGCCTCCGATTTCTCTTTGAAAAATAGGGATAATTTACCTACCCCTCAAGTGATCAAGAGGGTAAATGAGATAATGCACATAAAGCCCAAGCCTGGGCACACAGTAAGCATTCGAGAAATGGTGGTGGTGCTGTGGTGTGGGTTGCATGCATTGAGCAGAACTTTGCTCTTAAACCCAGCAGTGCCACCTCATCAGGTTCGTCCTACCATCCACATCCTCCGTAGGACCTTAGACACTGGGGGGCATGGCAGGGATGGGAGACAGGCCCTCTCTGCTGGCACCTCTGCCACCCCTTGGCCTGGAAAGGGATTTCTGAGTCAGTTAGCTGGGCCTGACGTTGGGAGTGGTGTGATTCAGGCAGGTGGCAACCTCTTGTTCTTCCAGAGTGACAACAAACACCTGCACAAAGCTCCACCTAGGAGGAGAATCAAATTGCCTGTGTTTTGTTTTGTTGTAAAGCACACAACTTCCTAATCTCTGAAGTCAGACCCAAATATACATTTGAAGGAAATAAAAAACATACCAACAAAATCTACCTACAACTGATTTAGCTCTAAACCAAGTGCCAGAAGAGAAGTGGAAGCTGTGTAGTGAAAAACATTAAAAGGCAACATTTATGGAGTATTTTGTTGTGTGATAAGCTCACACTTTTAAGTCATTTATCTTCTAACGAGCCTTTGAGGTTGGTTCCATTGTCCATCTCAAGTTCACAGAAGAAATGGAGGTTTTGAGGTATTAGATGACTTGCCCAAGGTCTTAAAAGCAGCATGTAATGCAAGTATAAAGATCCAGGCTCTTAAACACTTAAATAACACTCACTCTTAAGTAGCATGCTACAAAGTCTTGACAATTAGGAAGACATAGAACACAGAATTCCAGCCTTGATAGGCCTTTAGAAATGCTCAAACCCAGGGCTGGTGTCGTGGCTCACACCTGTAATCCTAGCATTCTGGGAAAGTGAGGCAGGAGGATCCCTTGAACTCAAGAGTTCAAGACTTCTGACTAAGAGTGAGACCTCCATCTCTACTAAAAATAGAAAAATTATCTGGGCTTCATTGTGGGCACCAAAAGCCCCAGCTATTTGGGAAGTTGAGGCAGGAGGATCACTTGATCCCAGGAGTTTGAGTTTGCTGTGAGCAATGATGATGCCACTACACTCTACCTGGAGTGACAGGGCAAGACTGTCTCAGAAGGAACAAACAAACAGAAACCCAAACGCAGCCTTCCTTGTAGGACTGCATGCAATCATACCAAGGGTCCGAAAGCCCTAGGGACTTGTAGGAAATCTTACATCAAGTTTGTGATTAACACTCAGGACTGGAACCCAAGTCTTCTGCTCAGCACAGCACTATTTCCACACACCCCACCAATAGGAATGGAGCTTCTAAATCAAACGCATGCCTCATTCTAAATAAAACAAGATAAATCAAGCACATCCATTAGGAGTATGAGTGAACCGGGGCTTTGGCTGGGGGATGAATGGAACTTAGGGCAAGCGGCTAATGAACCAGGAAAAGAGCAGTCCCGGGTCCCTTGATTGGACCTGTATATAACCTGAGGTGATCTCAGGAATGTAAAACCCTACAGTGGATTCTAGGGACTTTTGGTGCTGGGTGTGTGTGTTTATGTTAGAGATTTTGGTGATAGTAAAATGAGATTATGCATGTCGAGCATGTGATATTGACTGAAATTGTACAATCATGGCAGTTTTTTATAAGAAATAAATAAATGAACAGAGTCTATAGTCCCAGCTTCCCTCCCTTAGCCTAGGAAGGCACTTTTAATTCTCTCTCCCTACTTCCCAAATAACCACACGAGGGGATGGTAAGATAGCCATAACTCTTCATGTTCAATTGGCACTTTAAGGTGAATGAAACCATTTCATACTTAAAACTTGCCTGTTTCCCAAGA